TCCAGAGGAGACCACAAGACACTCTGAGGGTTGGAGTACTTCTGCTATGGAGACTGAGAGATCAAGCTCAGCTATAGAGAGCTGGGCTTGTTCAGCCTGGAGAAGAGAAGGCTCCTTAAGGGGAGACCTTGGAGCAGCTTCCAGTGCCTAAAGGGGCTACAAGAAACCTGGAGGGGGGCTTTGGATAAGGGTCTGTAGGGACAGGACAGCTTTAAGGTCCCTTCCACCCCAAACCGTTCTGTGATTCTGTGATGCCCAGAAGGTTTCATCTGGACTCCCCACTGGAATTGGCCACCATATCCCCCAAGGGAGGAACTTGAGACGTCATTAGCTGCTTTCAACAGGTTTTCTATTGTCTCCTGTCCATTTGCTGGTCTGCACGCACCGCTCCACATTCATCCAGGCTCTGTGTTCACCACGGCGGAGCTGGAGACGCTTCCTCAGGAGAACCTGGGCTGATCTCGACTCTGCTCAACAGCTCTGAGGAAGAGGTAAGAGAGGCGAACCTGGCTCCAGGCCCTCACAGCTCAGCTGTGGGGACATGCCATTGCGAGAGGGCAGCGAAGGGCTCGGGCTACTCCTCACGTTCCCCAACAGTGCGCTTAGATCCCGCCAGGGCAGGGGTGGTCCCCGCCCCGGTTCCCGGCACCAACAGGACCTGCAGGAGGGTACCGCGGGGGGGCCGAGCAGCAGCGTGGAGACAAAACGGCAGACTCACATAAATGCAAGCACCACCGCGATATGTGATCATAGAGAATTCTTTTCTTTAGACGTGCAAAGCCAGGGGAGAGCGCGAACGCAGTCCCCCACTACCACAAATTATGCAGTCGAGTTTCCCGCATTTGGGGAAATCGCAGGGGTCAGCACACCCGGAGTGCAAGGGATGAGCCTCGCCCTGGGAAAACCACCTGCTTGATCATGGTGTCTCCCCTGCCAGGTAAGTATGACTGCACCTCCCGCACCACAGTGCCACACGCCGCACAACACACACACACCTCACGGACACCGCACGCGGCGCTACCGGCACGCGCCTCGTCCCGCACCCCGCCGCTGCCGCCACCGCGCACTTGCCCAGAGCCCTCCTACGCCCGAATCCATGGGGGTGTTTTTGTGTCGCGGGTGTCCCGTGATGCCTCGCGGTGCTCGTTTGCATGGACACGCCCCCACACGAGGACCCTGCTCGTCACCGGTGGGCACTGGGGGACACACACCCCCAGCCTGTTGCCGGGACGGCAAATGCCGCGGCACGGTGCCGTGTCCCGAGGTGTCCGCCCGCGGAGCCGAGCAGCGCAGCGAGCCGTGCTGGTGGAGGGGTGGAGCCGCTGAAAGGTGTTTAAAAGGGAAAGCCTCCATCAAGGACAGGTTCCTCAAGGGCAAGCCCTGTTTAAGTACCCTGGTATCTGTCGACAATAAGGTCACCCGGCCACCTGCCTGTGGGGTGCAGGGAAGGTGGTAGGTGTATTTTCCTGTGTTTTTGTAAGGATTTTGATACTGTCCTTCACAGCATCGTTCTGGATCAGGTGTCCAGGTGGGATGAGCAGGTTCATAGTGTGCTGCGTGAAGAACCAGTGATCACAAATGGGAGTTGCTGTTGACTCTGTCAAGAGCCAAGAGGGCTTGCAGAGAGCTATAGATAGATGGGAGCACTGGGCAACCATCAACAACATAAAAAGGAACAAGAACAAATGCTGTTTAGGATGGAGTAACACCAGGCACAAATCTAACCTGGGAGAGGAGTGGCTGGAGGGCAGCCCTGCAGGAAGGGACCTGGATGCTGGTGTCAGCAGGGCCAGTAGAAGCCAGCACTGGGCCCTGGTACCCAGAGGACAAACAGCAGCCTGAGGTGCACCAATCACAGCAGAAACAGCCTGGCAGAGAGGAGGTGTTCGGCTGCATTCAGCATTGGTGGAGCCTCACCTAAGCGCTGTGTGGCACTGGGTCCCACCGTTGGAGGCCATGAAGATGTTCAGATGTGCCCAGAAGAGGACAAGCAAGCTGTGAAGGGTTGGCAGCATTGTCCTGTGAGGAGTGGGTGAGCACTTGGGGTTGGTCTTGTTTGGAGAGAGGGAGGCTGACAGGTGACCTCATTGCACTCTGCAGCTCCCTAAGGAGAGGACATGGGGAGGGAGGAGCTGAGCTTTTCTCCCTGGGATCCAGCAACAGGATGCCTGGAAACGGTTCAAAGGTTAGTTAAGCAGGACTTGCCCTTGGTGAGCTTGTGCTGACTGCCCCTGACAGTGGCATTATCCTTTAAACACCTTTCAGCAGCTCCACCCCTCCACCAGCACGGCTCGCTGCGCTGCTCGGCTCCGCGGGCGGACACCTCGGGACACGGCACCGTCCCGCGGCATTTGCCGTCCCGGCAACAGGCTGGGGGTGTGTGTCCCCCAGTGCCCACCGGTGACGAGCAGGGCCCTCGTGTGGGGGCGTGTCCATGCAAACGAGCACCGCGAGGCATCACGGGACACCCGCGACACAAAACCATCCCCGTGGGCTCGGGCGTAGGAGGGCTCTGGGCAAGTGCGCGGTGGCGGCAGCGGCGGGGTGCGGGACGAGGCGCGTGTCGGTAGCGCCGCGTGCGGTGTCCGTGAGGTGTGTGTGTGTTGTGCGGCGTGTGGCACTGCGGTGCGGGGGGTGCAGTCATACTTACCTGGCAGGGGAGACACCATGATCAAGCAGGTGGTTTTCCCAGGGCGAGGCTCATCCCTTGCACTCCGGGTGTGCTGACCCCTGCGATTTCCCCAAATGCGGGAAACTCGACTGCATAATTTGTGGTAGTGGGGGACTGCGTGCGCGCTCTCCCCTGGCTTTACAGGTTTAAAGAACAGACATAGCTTGCCCAAAAGGTTTTCAGTAACCTTAGGGATGCTTGCAGTACTTTGCTTTCCAAAGCCGCTCTTGTTATCTGTTCATTTGTACGGTCACGGGAATCATTGTGTATGGGAGGCGGCTGCGGAGCATTGTACCTGTTGCGTGAGGAACCGGACGCTATATTCCTCGCGGGGTGCTTCCTGCCTTTGTCCCGTCTAGCTCCGTTCCCACCAAAGCTCCCTGTGGTCTCATGTTCCCTCAGTTCAGGCGTGGTTTCCACACTGCACATTCCCCCCCAGCTCCCCACAGCCCATGCTGTGCTTGCTTTCCACATCCCCGTCCCATGGCACCGTGCCTGCCCCGGGTGCTATCACAGACACATGGAGATGCTGCCCAGAGCTTTATTCATCCCTCGCTGCTGCTCAGTAACCGTAACCCCGCGGTGCAGGCTCCTCTGAGGTACACAGCACCCCCCTCACTTAGGAGGTCCTCTCAGGGGGCCTTGGCCTTCCGGCGCTGGGTGCCCCACAGCAGGACGGCCAGAGACAGGGTGGTGGCTCCCAGTACTCCGCAGAAGAGCAGCACTGGGAATGTGCCCTGTAAGCAAACAGCAGTTAGTGGCCCCGTATACAGCCCCACAGCCCCATGCTGCTCTGGCGGGGCAGCACTTGGAGGGTATTCATCCTGCTGACACTCACCTCACGCAGGCACTTGTACCCGTGGAAGGGGCTGTTGCAGAGGCACTGGACGAGGCCGGGACCGTCTGGGGCACAGGCAGCGTTCTCAGGGCACGGCCAGGCTGGTGAAGCAGAGCAGAGGGTCACAAGCCAGGCCCTGCCCCCCCAACCTCCCACCTCCTGCCCCCCGCTTTACCGGGCTCCCCGGAGCTGTTGCAGGAATTCCTCTGGCCCCGGCAGACCCGGCTGCTCCCACTCGTTGTCACCTCCTCCCAGGCGCTGTTCCCACCTGGGCACCCCAGCGGCAGTGGCACCGCTCTGAGGGGCAGAGTTCAGCACCGGCACCGTGCTGGTGAGCAGAGCACAGCACTGGCACCACCACAGGCCCCCGCAGCCCACCCCGGTACTCACAGCAGCTGCAGGAGGGTGAAGCCCAGGAAGGAGCCATTGGGGAGGGTCGTCAAGGGGTTCTCTGTCAGGTCTCTGCAAGCACACACCACATCGGTACCAGAGACCGATGTGCAGCACCCTGCCCTTAGCCTGGCTGAGCCTCAGGGGGTTCCCACAGGGCTCACCAGTGAATCAGCACACACTGGAGTGCTGGGAGCCTGGCAATTGTGACAGTGAGAACAGGGACCAGCAAGGCCAGGCCGGGGGTTGTCTCCCAGCCCCCAGGGGGGAGCAGGGGTTGCACATGGGGGCATGAAAAGGGACACAGACTCACAGGACAGCAGCGGAGGAGGCCTCAGCCAGCCCCAGGGGGAGGTTCTGCAGGGAGCAGTTGCTCAGGTCCAGCCTGGGGGGGTAACAGCAGTTGGGGGGTGGCATGCGCTTGGCACCCCACACCCCCTTGCTGCAGGCATCCTTCACCTGCATCCTTCACCATGATACTCCATCATGTACCCGCTGCCACCCCCTCCCCGTACCCCAGCAACCGCTCCGGACGGACACCCCGTTCCCAGCAGCAGCGCCCCTCACTCTCTGTGCCGGGCCGGGATGCACAGTACTGGGCTACGACGGAGCCGTTCCGCAGCGGCCCGGGGCAGCTCCCGCACACCTGGAGGGATAAAAAGGAGGGGTCGGGAACCCCCCGGTTCCCGGTATTATGTCCTGGGCAGCCTCCGATCCCCGGGACGGTGTCCCGGTAACCCCGCCCCCCGGTGGCCCCGCCCCGGCCCCGCCGCTCACCGCCGCGCCGCCGATGGTGCAGGGCAGCGGCAGCAGCAGGATGATGAGGAAAGGCCCCATGGCCTCGGCGCCCCCGCCCCTACCGGGGCTCTTCCGGGACCGCCCCGTCGGACACGCCCGCTGCGAGAGCGCCCTCTGGCGGCCCCGGTGAGGAGCTCCCGCCTGTGCAGGGGGGGCGGCGGGGTCGGACCGCGGTTGTGTCTGCACTCGGTGCCCTCTGGACTCCGGGCAGGGCCGTGAGGGGATTTCCCGCGGCGAGGGGCCGCCGGGGCGCGGTGACCCGCCCGTGGCAGTGGAGTGTGACGGGGCCAGGGGGGCACTTCGGGGGGGTCCCCGGTGGTGGCCGTGACGCCATCACAGCGCGAGGGACGGGCAGGACCGGGCGGAAATGTCCGTGGGGGCAGAGCTGCCGCTCCCGGTGCGTCATCAGTGCGCGCTGGCGGCTGTCGCGGCTGCACGTGGGTCGGGCTCCAGCGCGCCGGTGGCCGCCGCCGGTGAGTGTCGCACCGGGGCCGCTGTGGCCCCTCAAGGTCGCTGGAGCCCGTCTGCTGGGCCCGGACCGCTGGCTACGGTGGGGTCGAGGCTCGTCCTGCGGCAGCGCGACCGGCACCGGCGGCGCTGGGGCTCCGGGGAGCCGGGTCTGAGGCCGGGGACAAGGGGGACCGGGAAGGGCAGCAGGGCCGTGGCCTCGGGGCACCCCGGGGTACCGGGGCTGTGCGGTGCTTCCTCCTCCTCTAACGGTGGTCACCGACGACATGGGGAGACAGGGAGGTGTATGGGGGGGACAGCGGGGACAGGAGGGTTGGGCCTCGGGTCACCGGGTACACCGGGAAGTAGGGCAAGGGGGTACAGGAAGAAGGGGCATGGACACGGACAGGGGGTATGCTGAGCTGGAGTGGGCTGGGAACATGGGGACCGACTGGAGGGGCTGCAGGGCCACCGGTAGAGTTACCGTGGGACAAGGAGTGGGGATGGGGGACTACGGGGCTGGGACGACTGGGCTTTAGGGACACCGAGGGGGAGCCTTGAGCCAAGGCTGCCAAGGTGGTGGAGCAGCCGTCAAGGACCACACCACTGCCTGCCTAATGTTTAGTCCTCCCAGTGGAATGCGGTGGGGTGACCTTGGACCCGCTGCACGGGGTGGTGTCGTGGCCAAGGCAAGGACAGGGACGGTGGTGTGCGAGGCGGGAGGCGCTGCCCTCTCACCCCCTTCCCGCTGGTGTTGGCTCTGGCGCTGCTGCGGGGCCCGGTGCCAGCCCGCTCTGTCCCTGCGGCGGGCGGGCTCGGGCAGGCTGCGCTGGGTGCGTGAAGCCAGCCCTAATCCCACCAAGTATGCCATGGACAGGCATTCCTCTGCAGATCACGGCAGGCACTGCACCAGCCTCCCACCACAGGCAGCCTCAAATGCTGCCCCACTGGAACAGGAGTATGGGGTGCCTCTGCATCCTGCACCACCTGCTCTGCTTGTGCCTGCGCCACTGCTCCCCACAGCTCTCTGCTTGCTGGTGGAGGTGGAAGCAGGGGTCTCTGCTCGTGCCCTCTCTCTGCCCTGTTTCTGGGACTGCCTGGCTGCCCCATTCTCTCTGCTGTGAATGAGCCAGGAACGCTGAGGATCTGCCTGTGGCAGGGCAGAAGGTGCCAGGGCCAGCAGTGGCTCAGAGGTCTGATCATCCAGCTGCTGCCCAACACCTCTGGAGTTGTCGGTTTCCCCTGTCCATCTGTCTGTCCTTCCCAGCTGCATGCTTGTCATCACGGTCATCCTGTGCTGTCCCTGCTCAGCTGGGCAAGGGGGACAGGGATCCCTCATGTACCCCCTCACCAGCACAGCTGGGGCCCCACTGCACATCCCTTTACCCTCCCCAGCCCCATCCATGGATTCCGTAGGGCTGGGGGGGTGCTGGTGGGGCTGATCCTGCTGGGTGGGCCACTGTGGAGGCGGCTGCGCTGGCGCCAGGGCTGGGTGCTTGTGTTGGGCTTGGCTGGGCTCCTTGCTCCGGGGGCAGCTCTGCCGGGCTTGGCAGAGCCACGCGGTTACCGGGGCGGTTGGGTCGTGTTATGCTTGGCCAGGGCAGGATCAGTGCTGCCGGGCTCGGCGGGGTTGTCCCACACGGGGTGGTGGTGTTGGGTTTGGCAACGTGGGGCTGGTTCTGCTGGGCTGGCCGGGCCAATGCCGCCGGGGTACTGGGTGGGACTGGTTTTGCAACCACGGTCTCGGCGCGAAGAGGCTCCAGTCTCCCTCGGAGGACAGGTGGGTGGGTGAGTGGTGCCGAGCCCAGCCTAGAGGGAGCAGAAGGGTTAAAGGAACTTTCCTCATCCAGACTGGCCCCCCCCCTCCCCGCCCCGGGTCCTTGAGACTGAGACAGAGGAGTGAGCGAAGGTCCCAACGCCGACACCCATCTCTCCTCCTGCAGCTCCGAGCGCCAGGGCGATGCCAGCCAGGACGTGCTGCCAGGGCAGCCACCGGGGCTCAGTGTGCCCATGAGGCCAGCGGGGCACAGCTGGGGTGGGTGGCAGGGCAGCGACAGGTCTTGCAGGGCAGAGGCAAGAGGAGCAGCTCACCATGGAGTTCACAGTGATCGACTACAGCATCTTTGCGCTGCTGCTGTTGCTGTCATCAGCCATCGGGCTCTTCTACGCGCTGAGCGGGGACCGGCAGCGCACAGTGCAGGAGTTCCTCCTGGCCAACCGCAACATGGGCTTCCTGCCCGTCGCCCTCTCCCTGCTCGCCACCTTCCAGTCGGCCGTGGCCATCCTGGGTGTGCCGGCTGAGATCTACCACTTCGGCACCCAGTACTGGTTCCTTGGCTGCTCCTACTTCGTGGGGTTGCTCATCCCAGCACACATCTTCATCCCCGTCTTCTACCGTTTGCGCATCACCAGCACCTATGAGGTGAGTGGGAACAGGGGCGCCCACAGTGCGCAGCACCCAGTGGGATGTGATGGCCCTGGGAGGGGATGAGTTGATGCTGCCCAGTGGGGTTTTGGCTCCCGGTCCTTCACTGCCTGGTGCCGTGCCCCACAGACAGCACTCCCTTCACCCCAAGCAGCACTGGATAGCACCGTTGTCTCTGTGGCAGCAGGAGCTGAGGTTTGGGGAGTAGGGCAGGTTTCCCCCTCCCCAAATTTCCTGCTGCTGGGGGGGGGGGGCATGGGGATCATCCCCCCTGCTCAGAACCCCACATCCATGCCCTCGCCCATCTCCCCACAGTACCTGGAGCTGCGCTTCAATAAGACAGTGCGGGTCTTCGGCACCATCACCTTTATCTTCCAGATGGTGAGTGGGGTGGGGGCTTGTGGCAGATGGGGCTGGGGCCGTGCATGGCTGCAGCGCTGCTCTCCCTGCAGGTCATCTACATGGGGGTGGTACTCTATGCACCCGCGCTGGCTCTCAATGCAGGTAAGGAGGAGAGGAGCAGGGGGGCAATGCTGGAAGCTGCATCCTGCATGAGGGTGCAACCTGTTAACGGCCTCCATCGCTTCTAGTGACGGGTTTTGACCTCTGGAGCGCAGTGCTCACCATGGGGCTGGTCTGCACTCTATATACGACATTGGTGAGTCCTGTCCCACCACCGCTGCCCGGCTGTGGGGTGCCCTGTGCCGGGCTGTGGTGATGGGCATTGTGCCTATGCAGGGCGGGCTGAAGGCCGTCATCTGGACCGACGTCTTCCAGACACTGGTGATGTTCGCTGGGCAGCTGGCCGTCATTGTGGTGGGCGCCCAGCGGGTGGGTGGCATGGCCCGCGTCTGGCGCCTGGCCGAGCAAGAGGGCAAGATCTCTGGCATCGAGTGAGTGCCACAGCCCCTGCGTGTCCTGTGCCAAGATGCCTTCACACCATGGGGCAGCCGGGAAGGGTGTGCGGTGGGGGAGAGGGACCCCATCCACTCCCATGTCATGGTGTGTGGGGTGCCAGTGAGGACCCAGTGCCATGACCACACTGCCTGTGCCTCTCTGCAGCCTGAACCCCGACCCCTTTGAGCGGCACACCTTCTGGACCCTGGCAGTGGGGGGAGTCTTCATGATGCTGTCGCTGTATGGGGTGAACCAGGCGCAGGTGCAGCGGTACCTCAGCTCCCGCAGCGAGCGGGAGGCCAAGCTGTGAGTGGGGCCTGGACTGGGGGTCCCACGGCCGGGATGGGTCCCTCTGCTGCCAGCCCCCCCAGCCTCTAATGCCTGCCCGGTGCTTGCAGTTCCTGCTACGCCGTGTTCCCCTGCCAGCAGATCGTCCTCTGCCTCAGCTGCCTCACCGGCCTCGTCATGTTCGTCTATGACCGAGAGCATACGCTGGCACCCAGCAACCGCCCCAAGTCATCCGACCAGGTGGGCACTGGGTCCCCCATCTCCTGCAGCCCGTGGGGCCGGACCACGCTCCCCAGGCTTCTCTGGTGCTCCCAGCCCCATGGGCACTCACCCTCCTTCCCCAGCTGGTGCTGTACTTTGTGATGGATGTGCTGAAGGACCTCCCGGGGCTGCCTGGGCTCTTTGTTGCCTGCCTCTTCAGCGGGTGCCTCAGGTAAGCTGGGGGGACCCTGGGGTTGGAGGGTCCCCCGCTGACACCCCAACACCTCTCTCTGCTCCCCAGCACCATCTCCTCTGCCTTCAACTCGCTGGCCACGGTGACAATGGAGGACCTGGTCCGGCCGCACTGCCCGCGGCTCTCAGAGGCACGGGCCACGCTGCTCTCCAAGCTGCTGGGTGAGGAGGGGGTGGCACAGGGGGACTGGTGCTGGGGGCAGTGGGGTCCTCAGTGCTGCTGTGACCCTCCTGCTCTGCTCTTCCCTTCCCAGCTCTTGGCTATGGATTGCTGTGCCTGGGGATGGCCTACGTGTCCTCCATGCTGGGCCCCGTGCTGCAGGTAGGGGTGGGGGTGCAGGGGGGGGCAGCTGAGCAAGGGGCTGGTGCTGACGCCTGTATCCCCACAGGCTGCTATCAGCATCTTCGGCATGGTGGGAGGCCCGCTTCTGGGGCTCTTCTGCCTCGGCATGTTCTTCCCCTGTGCCAACCCCACGGTGAGTGTCTCCCTGCCCGGCTGGGGCATATAGCCCACGGAATGGGGCAGTGCTGGGTGGCTGGGGCACCCCGAGCCTGTCTGGGGCTCAGCACCCTCCCTGCCCCCTATGCAGGGTGCTGTCGTGGGGCTGCTCGCCGGCCTGGCCATGGCCTTCTGGGTGGGCATTGGCAGCCTGGTACGCAGCATGGGGGCAGCTGCAGGGACCCCCCCACCCAACAGCACTGTGCTCCCCACCATGGGCAACCTCACCACCGTATTCGCCACTACTCTGTTGGCCCCCACGGAGGCCCCGAAGAGGTGAGCAGGGTGGGGGGACCTGGGGACAGGGTGCTGCAGGATGGGGGTGGTGGGTGCTCCATGCCCTTCAACTCACACCCGCCTTTCCCAGCCCCACAGGGCTGCAGAAGTTCTACAGCCTGTCCTACATGTGGTACAGTGCCCACAACTCCACCACTGTCATCGTGGTGGGGCTCCTGGTCAGCCTGCTCACTGGTGAGTGTGGTGCAGTGGGGGGCTGCTGGCGAACCCCCTTCCCTTCTGCTCACCGTCCCCTCTGCCTCTCAGGCCCCACACCGGCAGCATCTGTGGACCCCCGCACCATCTACCCCGTCCTGCCTCACCTGCTCTGCTGCCTGCCCCAGAAGTACCGGCAGAAGCTCTGCTGTGGGGTGGGTTTCCCTGACGAGGTGAGGGTCACAGACCACAGGACCTTGCTTGGTGGGGGGGGGATGACATGGGGTCATCTTGCTACCCCCTGCTCTGTCCCCACAGAACGCCGATGCCGTGGATGCAGTGGTGAAGACCAATGGGGTGCCCAATGGTTTGCCCCTCCCCGGGCCTGGGCAGCAGGAGCAAGAGGAGGGACAGGGCTACATTCGTGCAGCCGGGGCCCCTGCATATGCTGTGCAGGAAACCTCCTTCTGAGCTGCCACCCCTTGGCATGGGGTTCCCAGACACCCCCCAAGCCATTCCCCAGTGCCCCCCTGGGCAGGGGGCACAAACTCCCCTCCCCCCCAGGATACTGGGGGAGCACCAAAGAGCTGGGGGGGCTGAGTCTCTGCTGGGGGGGGGGGGTGATCAGGCTGCACCCCCCTCTGGGCTGGCCCCGAGCCCTGGGGGCTGTGGGACCACAGGCTGGGGGTGTCAGAGCGGTGCTCCCCACTCCCCCTAGGCCAGGGCATTGCCCGGTGCCCCGGCCTGGCCATGTGCCTTACACACAGCTCCCAGGCTGGGGGCTGCCAGCACCCTCAGGGCGCCGAGCGCCTCCCTCCATCCATCCAGCCCCCCATCACCCATCTCTCTTTCCACTGTCTCCCAATAAACGGTTCTAGAGCGCAAACATAGGAGCAACCTGCTCCAGGAGCTGTGGGGACATGGAGGTCCCATCGCCCACAGCAGTGGGGGGGCCCTGTCCCTGGGTGCAGGGGCCTCATTGGCTGGGGCAGATTATGGGATCCTGAGAGGTGCCCATCCCGCAGCCAGGAGGCAGAAGGTGAATGCTGGCTGCAGGTTCATTGCTGTGGGTCAGGCCAGGCAGCCCCACCAGAGCCCACTCCATGTGTCCCTGGGGCCCTGGCCCATGTCCTGCCCCACTGTGGGCAGTGAGGGGATACCCTGGGCCACCACTGCCCACCATGTGCCCATGGACCCCTATGCAGGGTGGGGATGCGGATCAAGCACCATTCCCCCCACACCTCTCCGTACCCTGGGGCACAGCACTGTGGGAAAGAAGCAGATGTGGGGGTCTCGTGGCCATGTGCACCAGGGGTTCATGGGGGCTGTCCCCTGGTGCCAGCCTGGGGTCTCCCAGGCCTGCGGGCTCATGGCTGCTGATGGCTGTGGCTGCCCCAGAGGGGCCAGAGCTGAGTGCCCCCCAAGGGCCAGTGTAGAGACAGGAATGCATTGGCCACTTCTGCAAGAGAGGGAGTGGGATAGGGGCTGGGATGGCAGCACCTTGTCCTTCTGTGGGTGACCTACACCTGGGATGGGGAACCCTGGGGAGTGGGTGCTGGTGTGTGTGGGGCACACTGGGGACCAGCTATTAGTGTGCATGGGACATGGCGGGGACCCCAGGGACCAGATGTGTCGTGCTTTGAGGGCCCCAGGGAGCAGGGTGGGGAGTGCTGGTGTGCAGTGGGGGTAAGGGATTGGGTGTTGCCATCATGCAAGGGAGACAGTGGGGCCTGAGGCAGGGCTCTCACCTGGAGTGGGTGCAGCAGTGGGTGTCTGTGGGGCAGGCAGGAGGGCACAGGCTGGGGAGGCCCTCAGCTGCAGCACATGGCTGAGGTGGCAGTGTAGCTGGTGGCCAGGACAAGGACATTGAGCTTGGAGCATTGAGCTGTGGGGGTGGATGAGAGAACCGCGACTGCTGGGACAGCCCCGCTGGGCAGCACAGGGAGACCGACGAGGGGCCTGGGGAGGCTCTGCTGCCCAGGGGCAGGGGGTACAGGAGTGCTGCTTGGCTGCGCTGCAGGGGGGAGCCCGCAGTCCTCTGTGGGGCACACAAGGGGGACACCTTCGCCCACGGGTGGGCGGGGCTTGTGCAGCAAGGGGCGGGACTCGGACCGCAGGAGGCGGGGCTTTGGGCGGGACGGGGTTTTGTTTGGAGCGGGGCTAGCTGCTAGATGGGCGGGGTTATGCCCGGAGGGGCGGAGCCATTCTGTGGGGCGGGGCGTGCGTGCTTGTGGCGCCGTGACGCAGCGCCGGGGCGTCGCGCTGACGTGTGCGGCGCAGCCATGGCGCCGCGGCGGCCGGCGGAGCTGTACCGGGCGCCGTTCCCGCTCTACACCGTGCGGCTGCACCCGCGGCGGCCGCTCGCCATCACTGCTGGCGGCGGCGGTGCCGCCAAGACCGGCATCCGCAATGGCGTGGTGCGGCGTAGCGGGAGCACGGGGGGCGGCCGGGAGGACCGGGGGCTGACGCGGCTGGGCGCGGCGGTGGAGGGGGCCGAGGCCGCGGGGCCGGCCCCGGCGTGGGCAGAGCCCCGCCGCGGAGCCTGTTCTGAGACCTTGCACCGTCCTGCAGCACTTCCTGCAGCTGGAGCAGATCGGCGGGAAGTTCAGCGCCTCCCTGCTGCACTCGCACGATACCGAGACCCGCGCCACCATGACCATGGCGCTGGCCGACGACATCATTGCAGCGGGACAGGACGCCAGCTGCCACATCTTGCGGTTTAGCCTGCGGGCGCCCGAACCTGCGGCCGGACACAGCGGTGAGAGCCTGCTACTCCCCGGGGAGGCAGGGACAACATCTGCTATGGGTGGAGCGGCATGGTCTGTGGGGCGCTCTGGGGATGGGGCAGTGACCTGGACCCCTCCCTGGCCTGCCCCTGTTCTCCCGGGCCTGTGGGGAAGCTGTGTCAGGGCTTTGTGGTGTCTGCCCCGCCACAGGCAGCAGGGAGAAGGGGCCGCGGAAGCGGAAGGGCCCCAGCCCGGTGGGGCAAGATGAGACCCAGAATCAGACGAGTGAGGTGACCGTAGAGAGTTTGCACAGCGTCCGCACAGATTTCAGCCCCGACGCCTTGCAGAAAGCTGTAAGGTTCAATGCAGACTGCTCGCTACTTGTCACCGGTGGTGCTGATGGCTTCCTCCGCCTCTGGGAGGTAGGCGGGAGGAGCTGAGGCTGAATATTACCATGTCAGTGCCTGGTGGGGAAGGCCTGGCCCCAGCAGTGCTGCATCAGTAGTGCCTGTGGCTCTGTAATGCTGCATCTTCCCCCAGCAGTTCTGGGGCTGCCGTGGGTCCCGTCCTGTGTGACACAGCTCCAGTGCGTGCTCTGCCCTTGCAGTTCCCCAGCATGAAGAAGACACTGGAGTTCAAAGCCCATGACGGGGAGATCGAAGATATTGCGCTGGGCCCTGACAACAAGGTGGGCATCAAATGTCTCCCTGGCCCTGTGGGAAGAGCCCTCCTCATACAACTGCACTTTCTGCACGCAGGTGGTGACGGCGGGACGGGACTTCCAGTGCTGTGTGTGGCAGCAGGACCAGCTGGTGATGGGGCTGTGCTGGAACGAGAACCTGCCTGGCATCCCTGACAAGGCTTACCGATACCAGGCGTGCCGGTGAGGGTGGGGAGCTGACAGCAGAGTCCCCCTTGCAGCCCCACGTGAAGGGAATGGGGGTGTCATTGTTGGCCGTGGCAACTGATGCACCCTTCGCTCTCCTGTGGCAGGTTTGGGGCAGTGGAGGACAATGCTGGAGCACTGCGGCTCTACACTGTTCAGGTGCCCCACAAGCGGGAGCGCCGCCCCCCACCATGCTACCTTACCAAGTGGGATGGGAAGAGTTTCCTGCCACTGCTCACCCGGCCCTGTGGCACTGAGGTCATCTCCTGCCTCTCCATAAGGTACCTCAGGGCTGGCCAGGCATGGGGTGGGGGTTGTGGCAGCTCCCACTCACTCTCTGACCCCCTGCAGTGACTCGGGTACCTTCCTGGGACTAGGCACGGTGACAGGCTCTGTTGCCATCCACATCGCCTTCTCACTGCAGGTGAGCAGTGGGGTTGGTGGGGATGGGTACAGGGGCAGCCACAGCAGCCCCCTCCCTTCCCGGGCTGCACTGTCCTTCCTTGTAGAGGCTGTACTATGTGAAGGAGGCACATGGCATTGTGGTGACAGACATGGCTTTCGTCCCGGAGAGCCGGCATGGACGGGAGCTGCTGGCAGGGAATGAGGCCGCCCTGCTCAGCGTGGCTGTTGACAGCCGCTGCAAGCTGCACCTTCTGCCCAGCCGACGTAGGTGCTGGGGGGGCTGTTGCGGCACTGGGCGTATCTTCCAGGCCAGATGGTGATCCCCTGCCTTCGCGCTGCTCTGCTCCACAGGCTCCCTCCCTGTGTGGCTGCTGCTGCTGCTGTGTGCCGGGCTCATCGTGGCTGCCATCCTGCTGCTGCAACTCGCCTTCCCGGGCTTCCTGTAGACCCCCGGCCCGGGATGAGCCCCCGGGGTTGGGCAGACTCCGGCGGCCCGGGCCCGCCCCATGCAGACTGTGAAGAGGATGAGGGACCAGCCCCGGCGCTGGCGCTCGGGGTGTGAATGGGGGAGCCCGGGGACGGTGCTGGCGGCCATGTGGGGCGGGCCCCGGCAAAGAGCGGGTCCCGCTGCCCCACCGCCGCTATTAAAACTGGAGGGTGAAAGCAGTGCTGTTAGTCTGTGCCTGCCGGGGGAGAGGGTGGGCTTCGCGCAGAAGAGCAGCAGCGCGGGAGCGGCGGTTGCCGAACGCCCTGGCCACGCCCCCACTGGAGCGTGACCACACCCCCACTGGAGCGTGGCCACGCCCCCGGGGGACAGCCCGGCTTTAACAGCTGCGCTGAGCCGCGCCGAGTCCCGCCCACCGCAGGGTGCTGGCACAGGCGCCGGGTGCCGGTTAACCCCTGCGCTGCCGGCGGGGCGCGGCCGGGCTCACCCCGGCGGTACCGGGGGAGGGTCGGCGAGCGGACGGGTCGGTCCGAGCGGTGCCGTTGGCGGGGGAGGTGTCAGCTATTCGGCCTCAGGCGGCGAGACGTGGGGCAGGGTCCGGGTGAGGCAATGTTAGGGGGCTGCACCGTGTGTGCAGCGTCTGCTCCTCACGGCGGGACGGGATGCGTGCATGTGAGCAGTGCAGGCAGTGTACACTGTGCACCGCCCAGCGCGTCCACCCCCGCCCGGTGCCAGCGTGTCCTCGCCGCGCTAGACCCGGTGGACGCTCTCCGGAGCTCCCTCCCGGCAGGGGCGGGGGGCTGGCGGTACCGGAGGGCTCCGGAACGGGTGGAGGGCGCCGTGACTGTGATCTCCCCCGGGGGCGCTCAGCCTGCACCGCTCACCCGACTGTAGCCTCGGGTCGCTGGATGAGGAACGCGCTGGCGCTGCTGCTGCTGGTGCTGGTGGTGGTCCCGGGGGCACGGGCTGCCCCGCAGGGCGGGGGGCAGAGGTATGAGTGAGGGGGTGTAAGGGGGAGGGTTCATCGGTGAGAAGGACGCGCAGGTGAGGTTTGGGTGCACAGGTACGGACGGGATGCACAGTAATGGGTGGTCCTGGGGGTACCCAGTCAAGGATGAGGGTCGCTGGGGTTGATACAGGGCTGTGGGGGCCATGGATGGAGGGATGCTGTGTGAGGACGTTAGGCCAGGGCAGGGCAGGCACTGTGTCCTCCACCCCAGGGACACAGGTAACCCCCTTCTCTCCTGGCCAGGCCTGAGGACCCTGCAGCCATGAGGCTGGATCCTGATTTTGACCCATTCAGCCTGGAGTTGCCCACACTGCTGTGAGTCCTTACCCCATGGGAGCCCCACAGGAGCTCCATGGCACTGGGGGCTGTGGATTGGGGGGGGGGTCAACTAGAGGGTGGGAGGCAAGGGCAGCAC